TTATGCATTTTTTTCTTGCATATTTTGACCTTTTTTAGTGCATGTTTGCAAGCATATTTTACAATTTAAAATGCATATAAATTTGGTCTTTAATTATAAGTAAATATATACATATGTTCTACAATTCATTTTTTTTCKGGTCCAGGTGATAGGTGGTTCAAGCAACAATATGCCACGAAAATACGAGCGTACTAGTGAAGTTCTGTATTTAAGTTACTCGTTAATAAAGGTTTTTATTATGTTTTGAAATCCCAGTTTTTGTTCGTCATCTTACACCATACCATACGTCATCTTACCCCAGCCATGGGGTAAGATGACGAAAATTACATTTTCTAGGGAAACCCGTATTTCGTCAATTTAAAGATGAAAGAGTCAATTGAAAACAATTTTAAATAATAAGCAAGATGTGAAAGWAATTCTCATACAGATTTCAGTTCTTAAATGTAATTACAGTGGCCAGGAAAAATCGTAGGAGCTTAACATCGTCATCTTACCCCATCTTACCCTACACTGATACAGGTAAATATATTAAAACTGTACAATAAAATCAGAAAACAACATAATACTTTTCTTCAAACATAAAATGAAGGTTAAGCTTGCTACCCAGCCTCTTAGCCAATCTGTGGCTTATGCCCTAACATTCTGTAAAGATCACCTGAATTTGAAAGAGTTTTCAGGAGTAGACGCTACGRTTCTGTTTATAGAAATGTTTAATAAATCCTTTGACATATTAAACTCTAGAAGTGGAAAATGTTTTGGAGCTAAAAAAGCAATTTGTAAAGAACATTTTCAAGAAATTAACAAATGTGTACAACATTTATAGATTATATTAATCATTTAAAAATAAAAGATAATAATGGTCAATTCATACAAATACTTAATTCATTAATTTTTGAGTAGATAAATTTAAATGAAATAATTTTAGTAAGTACTTATTATTCTATCTGTTCATAATATGCACCATAAAAATTAAAATGATTTAATAAGAATGCTAGAAAAAAATACTTTTGTTTGAAAAATGTATTAAATATTTAAGTAATACTCACTGCTCTGGAAATTTGTCAACTTTTTAGATTTAGGTATCTTCATATCTTCATTTATAATGTTATCCACACATTTGGTACTATTTTCAGGGTTTTCTGCACTTCCTAAAATACAATTAATTTAATTTAATAAATAATTATAATTATAAAATTATAGTTAAATAATAAATCGATAATAAGTATCTTTGAACTAGAATTTAGTATAATATGTATAAAAATTGCCATTTTTTAATTCATTAATTTTTGAATAGATAAATTTAAATGAAATAATTTTAGTAGGTACTTATTATTCTATCTGTTCATAATATGCACCATAAAAATTGAAATGATTTAATAAGAATGCTAGAAAAAAAATGCTGCTCGTACTCATACGAGAATTTGGACCATTTGTACGAGGTACCTAACTTAACCTATCCTCGTAACTTTTTATATGAGAATACCAACAACATATAAATATATATATATCTTTTATTTCAAAGTTAGATAGTAGTATAGTATTATCCATGATAAAATATTTTATCATGGTATAATTAGTATCTATGATGAAAAAGATGGATGACCATAACTTACCATTTAGGGTTACCTACCAGTTACCACGGGTATAATGAATATTGTGCACGAGAAAATACCTTCTATTATCAGGGTATAGACACTGTGTGTAATGGCAAAATCTGGTGACTGTGGCCTTGAACACGGTCTTTAGGAGAGAGTGGCATGCATTATCACTTAAATAAATCATATCATTATTATCACACAAAAAGAGACAGAGCTGATATAGTGTTTTGTAAAGCCCATTGTGTTGTTTGGTTGTTTCCGGTTTTTAAAATTCCGTAACTAAGACGCTGGTTATCATTTGCGCATCACTATTGTTAATTTAAACCTTTTTTATAAGACATTTGCGCATCGTTCGGTTTTTGGGTTAACATCGTTTGCGCATTGACCTTTTAAAAGGTCCTACATCATTTTGCATATCAAAATTATTCAACAATAGAAATGAAAAAAAAAAATGTGTACCCCAAATGCAATTTTTTCTGACTTTGGTCTTAAACTTTGCTCATTTCTAAATTTGCTCACGTAATATTGCATATATGAATCAGATGATGTACAATATACTAAGTAAAAATGTAATTTTGTAACTTACATTTTCGAGTTTTTGATGAATTTTGCCAAAATTTGAACAAAAAAATGTTAATGGTTATAAATTATGTTTTAATTTTAAAAATCTTAAATTATTTATCATCTATATAATATTATACATCATGTACCTAACACAGTTCGTTATACCCTTCTATTGTTTAGAATATTGATGCGCATTTGACGTACGATAATTTGGTACAGGTAAGCAGACGATGCGCAAATGATACACGGCCAACTAAGACGGATATACGTCTATAGTGACAAAGATCCTGAATATATACCTGTAGATCTACAAAACAATAATGCAAGCATTTTGTCTGATGTTGAAAATGTAACTCTTGTAAGTAATTGTAAAGTAATTGTTAAAATTGTAAAAATAAATTAAATTATAACTTAATATTATAAAAAAAATAATTAAGTTGTTTTTAATTATTATGAATATTGTCAACTGCACTTAAGCTTGACGTGCTAATTATTTAAATATCACTTATTTAAATTTGTATTAATTGATCATAAATCATAATATTATTAATTATAATATTAAAAATAATATGTATAACATTTTAAATATAATTAGGTACCACTGTTTAATTTAAACTAATTTAATTACATTTTATTTAGGAAAATACTACACCTATAATGAAACGCAAAAGAAAAGTGACAGTACCATCATCAGAAAAAGTATTAAAAAGAAAACGCTCAAAAAACAATGGTGATTGGATAGATGTTAAGTCAAAAGTTCTCCTAAACAAAGGGAAAGAGCATGTGAACCGAAAAAATAAACTAATAAAGGAAAAGAAAATGGGACCACCATGCATACTAAAGWGCCGTAGTAAATGTTATGAAAAACTAAACTATATTGATCGTAAAGCAATATTTGATGCATATTGGGAATTAGGTGACTATACTAGGCAATGGGATTTAATTGCCCAACATGTTAAAGTAGTAGGGTCATGGCACCATCTATAGCCAGTACACCAGCTATGGCCACTTAAAATTGATATATTATTTATTAGCATAATTTTAGACCATAACATGATATTATTGTAATTTAATATTATGTTGGATACACTGATTCMTAATACATATGCATCGGAGCATTTTCCCTCGATTTTATTTTTTTATCACTGTTACAAAATGTTTATCTCATAATTTTTCATATTTCTTATTTAAACTGTTAAGGAAATGTAAATCTTTTCAAATTTTTTTCTTAAGGATAAAATTACATTTCATTGCTGTCAATGAACCATCAGGTATGTAAAATTAATCAAATTATTACTATACCATTGTTTCTAAGTATAATTTATTTTACACTACATTTTTATAGTTGGCCATAAAAGGAACTCCTTTTCGTTGAAAAATCTATCTATGGACAAGCGATGGCCATACATGGAGTCTCATGTAGTTCCTTTAATGGCCACTTTTAAAAATTTTCAATTTAACTTAATTGCATGGGTCTAATATGAATTATTKTATAAATGTACTAATTAGTGTTGTATTTTATACCTTAGGAAGATGTCTCCCACAACAATTCAAAATAAATTTAAAACTCCAAAAAGATGTTTATACTCACCATCAAAGGTTAAGGCAAGCTTTAGATGCAATCAATTAAGGTAAATAGTAAATAGTAAAGTATAATTTGACTGTTTAAAGTTCTAACATAATTTGTTGTATTAGGGATGAGTAAATCTGAAGCAAGTAAGACATTTAGGGTACCTCGTACTACATTGAGAAATAAAATTGAAGGTAAGTCACCGACAGAATCAATTGGGCATGGTGGAGTATCATCTATACTTGGTAGTGATACATAAAAAGCATCAGTAGATTGGATTCTTACATGTGCCAAAATGGGATTTCCAATAAATCGAGATGGTGTTTTAAATTCTGTGAAAAAAATAGTTGATGAAGCCAATTTGAAGACACCTTTTACAAAAAACCGTCCAGGTAAAAAGTGGTTTTATAGCTTCATGAACCGTAATAAATGTTTGTCACAAAAACATGCTGAATATGTGAATAGAGCAAGGGGTTCAGTTACAGAGGAGAAGATTCGGAAATGGTTTGCTGAAGTCTATGATTTATTAGAAGAACRTGTTAATGTGTTGAAATGTCCAGAGAGAGTTTTCAACATGGATGAGACATGTTTTTACTTGGCACCAAAAGGAGACCTTATACTAGGGCAACGTGGTTCAAATATTTATGATGAACAGGTTAATTCTGATAAAGAAAATATCACAACACTTTTTGCAACAAATGCATATTAAACCGGTTAACCAGAATAGAGTTATTAAATTCAGTTCAGAATGATTTGCATGAAAATGAAGTGGAAGTTCAAAACAAAAATCTATCTGATCAAGACAGCTCATCGAATCACCAGAACAACTTCAATTTTCCTCGGTTCAATAAACATAGTAGACATTTCATTAATGCTTCCAAATTTCATTCAACTGTAACTGAGACTGCCACTTATGAAACAATGAGTGATTCTGTAATTGACAATATATGTACTTCATCCCTTAGTGATGTAAAGGAAATGGCCAACATTTTAGGTAACAAAAAAATAATAAAAATTTAGATAAAATGTGTATAATGTGTTATAATTTTAATTTTTAGGTATACCATTGTTTACGGAATCCTTTGAAGAGCCTCAATTTTTGACTAGACATAAAGATGCTAACATAGATAATTCGCGATTGAAAGCTAATATAGGTAGCGCCCTAGTCGATACTAATGATAAGGCTAACGGGGAACATGGTCGCTTAACGGCCAAGGCCCATGCTGTTTAGACAGTGTTTCTAGTTTACTTTCCACTTTTTTTCTTACTGTTTTTTTTATAATATAAATTATATTATACAGCATACCTAACTATAGTGTCCAGTGTCCAATATTATAAATTATAATATTAATTATATTTAARTTTTACATTTAAATATATTTTATTAAAATGTTTAATTCGGTAAATGAAATTCGGTGTTGCTCTGCTGTACAGTAGGTTACAGGTGAGGCACTGTAATGTATTGTGTTAAATTTTAATTCAATRATATAATATCATTGTATAAGAAAAACAATTCTGAGCGAAGACGGTCAGTCAGTCAGCCTACCTATGATATTTACTAAGTATATTTGCAATATTGTGTATAAATTATAAA